ATAGCCGTAGGCTAAATCTCGCCCAGTCTTTATGCTTTTTTTGTCTCTTTATTTTTTTTATTATTATTTTAAGTATTTCTTTGCTCCATTATGTTTCCTTTATCACCTGTTAACATTATGCTGATCTTATACCTCCTAACACACTGTATACGCAAATATAAAGTTGCTTCGTGGTTAAACGTTTATCATAAATCTATAATTTACTTTTATACATAAACTAGAAATGTGTGATTTATAACAACTTAAAACAGAGTGATATTGGATAAAACTAAAATTTGCTTGGGTAAATTAATTTTTAGCTTGAATTAATTTAACGCAGAATATACAGGCCATCGAAATTTGTATTAATAAGCAATTAGTAATAGATTAAATATGACATTATTAAAAATCTCCACACTGGCGTCCCTTAACTCTGTTGTTTACCAAATTATATATTGTATTTGAATATAATTATTATTGTTTATAAAAAACATTATTTTTATATGAGTGCCAATAATGTTTCTAATTTTTACATTAATATTCTCTAAGTATCTATTCTCGAATAATTGCAATAACACATGCTCATTCAATGACAACATTGTAAAGGACACTCTCGGAAACATTGCCAAAAAATAAATTATAAATTAAATGATTTCGTGGGTTGATTATATTATTCAAAATAAATTCGGGACAACTATAATTATATAACTAACGTATTTAGAAAATATTCCATAGTTTTAGTTGTTCCGTATTAGTTATACAGGATGTCCCAGATTTATACTATCATAGCTTAAGGATTTATTTGTTACTAAAAATAAAACCTCTAATTACTTGTTTAACCGTTCTTCCAATTTAGTTCAAATTTGGTATGTATATTATATTTATAAGAACCTAGATCTGCACAAATAAAAACTAGTTAGTTTACATTTTAAAAATAATTAAATATATTACCATACCAAAACTCAAAAAGTCATCAACCAGTGTCATAATGTATATTTTTTTTGTTTAATCCAAACTTGATAGTTTCAAAATACTTTAAACTGTTTTGGTTTCATGTTTAAACAGAGATATATTTATTAAAACAGTAACAAATGCTTTTTAAATATTTCGTGGCAATGCAATTCAATTGTAACATGTATTTACTTAAAATCTATTGTCAAATGATTTCACCTTTATTAAAATTTTGAAATTATTAAATCTCTATATATAGGAGAATCTGATAATCTGACTTTTATCTAGCTATAAAATAATTTTGGAGTTTAGGTTAGATTGAAAATGATCTATTGTGGTTCATGTCTTACTTATAGTTCACATTAGCCACACCTTTTGATGATAGCCAAGGTTGAATTGAGTGAAACTTGTTTAAAGTTGATAGGCTCCAGTCGGGTGAATCCGAATATCTGGAACCTAGTGCTTTCCAAAGTGGGGCAGGTGCATAGAATGTGCTCTATGGCTCGTCTTCCACGCTGCAGAATCGACATTCCAATGTGAGTTGCAGACTATTCTTCTCATGTGGTTTCCTAGACTACAAGGTCCTGTCAGAGGCGTTCATGAAGAGTTGGGTATAAATGCTTTTGAATTAATTAGTCATGGGGTATCTCTTCAGTTCGTGAGTATTATACCCTCCGTCCATTTTGAGATGATTCCTTAGGCAGTACTCTTTGCAATGCCTACGAGTAGTGTTAAAATTCTTTGAACCGCTCTCGAATAATAGGACAATAATTTGGTTGTAAATGATTCCGTTGTAAATCAATGTCACAACTCAAAGGTTCTGAATTCAAGCGTTGAACCAGTCAAGCTATGGTAGTAATTCAGCTTTGTATTTTAAATTTCGACTGGACAATTGGGAGAGTAATCCCTTGTATAATAAATTCTAAAAAAATGTTAGTTTACTAGATAACATTTCTATTCTCTAGAAAAATGTAATCCACTCTTTCCGTTGGATATACCCACCCGTTATTTACTAAGAAGAAAAATACAAACCACTTATTCCAGATTACGGATTGGACATACTCATATTTATTACTACTACTAACAAAAGAACCAGTGCCAAAATTTTATGCATTCGGAAATCAGTTATAATCGGTAGGACGATCGGTGAGCTTATTTTGTAAATCTTCCTTTTGATAAAAATCTATTAAGTTCTAGTCTATTGCAATATTCATTGTTTTAAATTTAAATTTTTACCTAAAACGCTTCTCTATAGGTATAAGTGCATTATTATTTCTCTATAATGGGCTTAAAAAATCTGTTCTATTTTTCATCAGACAAGTAAAAGCTCTGATTGCAATTTTGGCACATATAGGGTTGGTATGGCCTTTCGGGGTGAGTAATGGAAAAAACATACTTAATAAACGGATAGACTAGGATTCATAAATAGCTTTCTGCACGATAAACGGTTCCTTAGATATGGCCGGCGTTCTTTCTTATTTGGACACCAGGTACATAAACAAAAGTATGTAAACAAAATACGCAGCATTTATTTCATGCTGATTTCAATAATTCTATTTAAATTATTCAAGGGTAATATGATAAGTAGTACGATTATTATGGACAATTTTTGGAAATGTCTCGAATAACTGTCATAATATCGAAAACATTAGTGAAATTTAGGCAAACCACAAAATCATATTTAGAAAGAGAGTATGGTGACAACCGTATGACAACGATTTTAACTGACATAAAAGTTTTCCTCCGGTACGCCCCTGGATTTAATTTGTGTAGGCTGATATTGTGATTTTGGTTGCTGGTAGGTATTTACTTTGTTCATTAAAAATACACGAATAATATCAAAAATATTTACATAAATGATTTAATCAGGTCTTTTGCTTGCTGGAACAGTTTCGCTATACAGATAAAGTTGATTGTAATTGGCCACTATTTTTAATACGTTAAAAATGTTCAAAATATTGGTATTTATGATTTTGTAGGAACCTTACACTAATAAACATAATAAATACAGCACGCAGTACTCATTAGCTTATTGCTATACCTATGTGTATTGTATATACATTTACCAATTTAGAGCTCAAAAATTTCATGTTTGTTTGGTTTTTAAGTTTTAATAAACAAAACTGTTTCAGAATTAAAAGCGTATAATTCGAAACCCAAAATATTGAAATAATATTGCGAGAAATTCAATACTGGCGTCTCTGGCGTGCTCCAAAATATTGTTGATTTCTGTAGAACAGGGATCGGCAACTGGTTGACCACGATCCAGGTCCAGACCGCAAAAAAATTCACCAGGCAGTCATTTGTGGAAAACTTAGTGCCACTCTGAAAGAAGTATTAGTCAGCTTAATAAAGTTGATTAATTTTATAAGGTCTCCTTCTACTCTTCAGCACAGTTCAAAGAGTTTTCATCTGAGTGAGATTCAACGTATTTTGACTTACTGCAATACAACAATGTTCGTTATTTCGTCAATTAAGTAATTGGATGTTTTTGGCAAATAAAAGAAGAAGTAACCTCCTTCTTAGATAATTTGGATGCACAAGAGCAAGGAAGCATTTAGAGTTCTTGGCAAACAAACGTAATTTGATAGCTGTTTATTTCCTGAAAGTTATTCTGAAACATTTAAATGCGCACAAAATGAGAAAATAATATGTGAAAAGTGTCTTCTTTCCGTCTTAAGCTGGATATCTTTGAAAATATATTACAAGTCAAATTCTAAAATAGACAATGCAGTATTTTCAAATTTTATGCCCGATCTTAGGAATAAATCTACAGCAAGATTCCAAAACTTTGCAGATATAAAGTTGTCGCAATTCGTAAAATCGCCCTTTGAAGTTTCTTCAGCAGCAGAATGGACGGATGGTGTTATGAAACTGTTCCGCCTTTCAAAACCTTTACTCCAAATGGAGATAATAGACTTGCAGGAATACATTTTCTAACAAACGTGTAAAACTGCATCTGCCGAAAAATTTTGAAGTAAAAATGTCCCAGAAAAATATGGAATTTGCAAAAAATTAATATTATTCTGTGAGGGAAAATTGAAATAAAAAATTAGTAAGGATTATGATTTTTTCTAGACCTCGATAAACATTTTTAAAATGTAATTTTTTCAATTGATTTCATATTATTTTGTGAGTGAAAATTAAAATTTAAAAGTAGTGAGGAATAGGTATGAGTTTTTCTGGATCTCGATAAACAAAGTATTCGGAGCCCACATAAAATTATTTACCGACACCTTCTCTATTCCCACTATTTATTTAGGAAAGCCGAGTGTTTATCCCAAGAATACGGGCTCTGGTATATCCAAGAAACATTGTGCTATTGCGGTCGTCCTTACTTTGCAACACCACGACAAACAATTATTGTGAGCGTAGTTGTGATAATATTTTTTGAGAGATCTCTACCTGTAATCGGGTCATCCTGGAGTATCTCAACGGCCTGTTACTTTGACGGGTCATTTACGATGAGACTTGACTCGCCACATGCGGCGCTACCCAGGTCTCACGAAAAACTGTCTCAAGGCAGTTAAGGTCACACACACTGAGACAGCCTCACGCCACCGCTTCAGATTTCAATCTGTTGTGGTCTACAGTCTATACCAACCATCAACCATGACCACTACCCTTAGGAAAAAATTGGGATTCCTATTTAGTACAAGGAAGTTATATTTATATCCTAATCTACTCATTGGCTCATATTGAACTTCAGCTACAACTATAACACTTTATTCTTGTTGCCATTCATAGAAGAGCTATCCCCTCAATTAGTGACTAAGATATCATTAAGATCCTTGCTCCTATCGACCAATAGTGCGCTGATGGTGACCCTCAATCTCTTCAATAATCTCTTTCAATAAGCATTGCTCTCTTTACTTTCGCAGAGGACGTACGCGGTACATATTACTAAAAATGAAGTCACTTGCTCATAAAAAGTAAATCGAAATTATTTAATTTTTTAATATTATAAGTACCTAACAAGTCTACTAAAAACTACTTTAACAATAGTGATTTAAAAATAGAAAACTATCTTCAGATGACTAGGTTAATATTGACATTTTTTTTTTTTTCAGTTGGTGAGGATCGGTGAAACCAAAGAAGGCCTATTGGACTTAACAGAACTGGAAAACCAACTCAAATTTCACCAAAACTGCGGCAGACAGTTGATAGGATGTTTTTCTGTTGCTTCCAGCGTTACGGGCATTGTGATAGATGACCTCGCCTGTACGATCCTCCTCCATCAATATGGCGCGCTCTCCTTTTGGGACTTCAACGTCGGTGCTCCTTGTTTACAGATTGATATGAACCCTGCTATTCCAGGCGTCGAAGAAAATTCTACGTCGGGCTACAAGGATGCAATATATTTTTCTGGGCACAAATTCATTGGAGGAGTGCAAACACCAGGTATATTTGTGATGTAAATGTAGGTATAGCCTGTTAACATTGCTTATCTTGTTATTCAACTTGGGTAATTCGTTAAAAGTAAAACTCAATAATAAAAAGTATTTTCAACAGTGATAACAAATGAACGCTTAAATTTAATGGATGCGAACAGGGTGTGCCAATAAATTATATTCGCTCAAGCATAGAATTTAAACTTTAAACTAAAAGATTTATAAAATGTTAAAATTCGGTATTATATAGCACTAAATAAACTATATTTCGAATATAAATTCGAATGTATAGGGTGATCCATGACCACAGAACAGGTTTTGCTATTTTTTAAATGGAATACTCTGTATTTTTCGTATTCGATTCTATCTTTAATAATCTACTTTTACTTTCAATAACCTACATAACTGGAAAAAGCAATTTTGTAAACTTACAGAGTGTTTTCAGCAAACTAATAAATATCCAATTAGCTTTTAAATTAGTTAAGGTTGTGAATGCCCAAATTAAGAGAATAAATGTTTGCAATTGATTAAAAAAAGCGTATGAGCGTCGCTGGTCAGCTAAATCTCCCGATCTTATTTCCTGTTATTTATTTTTGTGGGACTGCATCAAAATATGAAGGAGATAATCTATAAATTCTGACAAGAAAATGTATAAAACAAAATGAAAGGCGTTTGTAAATCCTTCTCTAAACAAATCTCTGAAGAAAATAGATTGATTTTTAAACTTCGTTTTTATTAAATAATTTTGCTTTATTTCTATTTTTTATTTTTATTATTCTTTTATTTTTTTTGTATTTATTAAACAAGTTAATCTACCTTTCAATCGTCTTTTATTTCCAAAGTTTTCTTTGTTTTCGGTCATAAAAATTATTAAAATCAGTTGTTTTTAATTTTTAGTCCGATAAGCCATTCATTTGGTTTAGATATGCGCACCCCTATACATCCTAAAAGGTAATTATGTAGGACTTTCAAAAGATGCTAAAAATACAGGTTCATTTTTTTTATCAAGTAATATGGTCATATTAATGATATTAAATTGCAAATTTGAAGAAATTTTCTTGGAGATGTTTACGCGATGGGTTACTGTATAGCTTCCATGTTTAAAGAGATTTAAGAACATTTTAAATAAATTAAATTTTTGTAAGCAGTTTCTGTTAAAAAAAAAATATTTTTGATTATCCGACAACACCGGTTTAAAAGAGAAATTGTTGTTCCATTTATAACAATTACCTTGATACCTGTCCTGTGGTTATGGAGTACCTTGTATAATCGAATTAATTTTAAAAATGCAGCTTTTTTGGTATTGCATAATACTGTCACGATATACGTGCTCTTTAAATTTAGGGGATGAAAAAGACTCTCCGGGTAGGAGACTGGTAGAGGATTCTACACGTAGCCAATTTGGGTCGCAAATATTGGTCGCGAAAGGCTGATAGTTTTTTCTTATTTTCATAGTTTTAACGTTTAGTCAACGGTTGTGATATGTGCCACAAATATTGGAGTTGGTAAGTGTATTTAACTTTGGATACTTTATATTGTGTTGAGCCCATGTATGAGTATGTCGAGTTGTGATCTACTTTTGTATGGTTGTCATAATATATCTGATTCAGTCTCCCTAGATTCCTAAGCCATAAAGCCAGGTTGAAAATAATATAGTGCCTTACATATCGTCAGCTTACCAGCAAAACACACTAAGTCAGATTTGATGAAAAATTCATTAGTCACTTAATGTATTTTTCCTGAACAAAATAATGCTATTATGAACTTATTGAATATGAAAATAATTTAAAAATAAAATTGTTGGAGGGCATAATGGATTTTACCAGTTTATAGAGTGGAAAAAATCCAGTCAACTGATGTAAATAAGTCAAAATTAAAAAAAATTACTTGTGTTTTGCTTGCCAACCAACGATATTATTATTGTTTACTTTCCTGGGACGTGTTATGCAATTTATGATATTAAACGTATACATTTTTGACAAATCCCGCATTCTTTGACCTTAATCACCTTCTATATTCAGAAGCACGTATATCGTGACAATACTGAATTGAAACTTGTTCTAAATTTTCCAGTTTAGTTGCTATGTTCCGAGCGGAAATAATAGGCTTCTTTTATGTTCTGTTTTATATTCTTTTCCATTCCATTCATATTTTCTTCCAACCCCTTCATCTCCTTTATAAGCTCTTCTTTATATTGTTTATCTTTCATCATTTTCAACAGTAGTTTCATTCTTAAATTCTCTTCACCTTTGTTTTCCTTTATCTGCCTTTAATGAACTTTTCTTCCAAATTTTGATTTTCTACTTCTTGCATATTGTCCTAATCGTTTGACATCTCTTAGATCCATTGGTTTTATTTATATTTAAAGTTATTTTTACATTATATATTATTATTATTATTATTATTATTATTATTATATTTGGTCTATATAAAAATTATTTTGATTATGCTCCACTCGTTATCAGGAGATAGTAATAGAACCCTCATTTTGTATGCAAAACACAGCACGAGTGGCTCAAAGAAAAAATGTTTGATTCTGCAGCTTTAATGCTTTTACCATATATCATCAGAAGATAGTAATAAAACCGTTTTAAAGCAGTATACCATAGGCGCACCAACTAATAAATAAAAAAGTACTATTGAATTAATAATTTGAAAAAGAACTATGTGTATTTGTTTGTATTATTTTTTTTTCTACTTAGTACTACAGTTGAGGCAGGTGTACTCGTAAAGTAGGTGATTTAATATTCTGGAGTAATGTTCTAAAGAAACAAATCAAAACATATTAACAACCATTTTAGAAATTTTAATTCTTGTATAAATGCTTTTTTTAATTCATTAAAAAGGATAATAATAACACAATTATTGTGTTAAGGATTAGGATTTCAAAAAAACTAAATTATTATAATAAGAAAGTTTATTAATTAATTAAAGAAAATACCTGAATTATTTTGAAACTATAAATAGGTATCGAAGCAATATAAATAAATCTTACGATGTATGAGCCCTTTATTAAAAAAATCTGATGTGTCCAACACATGACTTTCCTATCTAATTATTATAGGCTTTTTCCGGTTATTTTGTACAACCTATTGCAGCACCTTTATAAATGTTTAGAGGATAAACTAAATATATACATTTTCCACATACATCTAACTCGAAACATTTTTCTATAGATATTCATTGAAAACGAAAATACTGAAAAATTTAAATTTAGCACTTTTCCTTCAATTTCTTCAATACGGTCCATTTTAGAAAAATCATATAAAAAACAAAAATTATAGAGATCGATATCACAAATAACTTTTATTTAAACAATTTTCCTAAAAATTTGAATTTTATTACATTTTGTCAAATTTCTCGAATACGGACCATTTAAAAAAAATTGTATACAACCAAAATTATAGATAATAATATTGTAAGTAATTTTTATCTGAACAATTTTCTTCTCCAAACATCAATAACAGATATATTCCATAAAATATAAAAACGGCCTCCCATAAAGTACCCCCCAAATGTTCCGACTTCGTCCAAAATCTAATCATTTTACCTCAGGCCGAAATAAAACTTAAGTTTAAAATTTAATGTTTTTTCCTTTATCTGTTTTTGAGTTTTTTTCAAAATTCGAAATTTACACATTTTCTCAAATATCTCGAATTTTAGAGAAATTATGTAAAGAATAAAATTTATAGAGAATTATATTACAAACAACTTTTATTTGAACAATTTTTATAAAAAAATATTTTTTTTACATTTTGTCAAATTTCTCGAATACGGACCATTTAAGGAAAATTTTGTATAGAACAAAAATTATAGATAATAATATTATAAGTAACTTTTATTTGAAAAATTTTCTTCTTCAAACGTAAATAACGGATATATTTCATAAAATATAAAAATGACCACCAATAAAGTACCCCCCAAATGTTCCGACTCTGCCCAAAAACTAATCAGTTCTTTGGACGATGGAATAAAGCTTAAGTTTAAAATTTGGTGTTTTTCTTTGTATCGGTTCATGAGTTATGGTGGATACAGACACACACATTGACACACAGACACACAGACACACAGACACACGGACACACAGACACAGACATCATCCCGAAAATAGTCAAAACGGATTCAGGGAACCCCAAAACGTAAAAATCCGTCGAAAACTGGAGGTCGAAAAAATCATCATTCCTATACTTTCCTTATCTGTATACAGATAGGAAAGTAAAAAACTATGCTAAAAAGGGAATGGCTAAAGGCAATGCCCGCCCCCCCTCCGAAAATTCGTCTTGGAGCCGCCTTTGATCAAAGAAAACTATTATAAAAATCTGATGTGTCTAACACATGACTTTCCTATCTAGTTATTATAGGCCTTTTCCGGTTATTTTGTACAACCTATTGCAGCACCTCTATAAATGTTTAGAGTCGAAACATTTTTCTATAGATATTCATTGAAAACTAAAATACTGAAAAATTTAAATTTAGCACTTTTCTCCAATTTTTCCATTACGGTCCATTTTAGAAAAATAAAGTAAAAAATAAAAATTATAGGGATCGATATCGCAAACAACTTTTAGTTTAACAATTTTCAAATCAGAATTTTGCAGATTTTGTCAAATAAAGCAAAAATTATAGATAATAATATTAGAAGTAACTTTTAATTGAACAATTTTCGGTCCATTTTAGAGAAATTATGTATAGGATAAAATTTATAGAACATTTATATTACAAACAACTTTTATTTGAACAATTTTTATAAAAAAATTATTTTTTTTTACGTTTTATCAAATTTCTCGAATACGGACCATTTTAGGAAAATTTTGTATAGAATAAAAATTATAGATAATAATATTGTAAGTAACTTTTATTTATTTGAAAAAAAGCTTAAGTGTTGGTGTTTTTCGTTGGATCCGTTCATGAGTTATCGAGGATACAGACACACACACATACATCATCGTGAAAATAGTCAAAACGGATTCAGGGGACCACAAAACGTAAAAAACCATCGAAAACTCGAGG